CTTTAGAACTCTGTATTTCAAACCTATATTCATCACATTTTCCAAAGCACTTATATCTGAAGATATTTTTGTTTCTGTAGTTTTTACACAACATCCTACATGAAGGAGGCATTTAATGTATTTGTGAATGACGATGGCATCAGCATCATCTTATTTGATGTTTAAAATAAACCTACTAGCTGGGCAGTATTATCGTTCCTTGTTACAGTTAAAGAAAAAAGATGAAACAGACTGACATTGAATTGATAAGAAGCCTAGATTCTAGGCTTATCGGATGTGTCCAATTCATTCTACATATTATTGACAGATTAATTAAATTCAGTTTGACTAATCTTGAATACCTGTATGTGAGGCACTATGTTACATGCTGATTATCAAAACAAATGAGTTAAATAACTTTTACACTAATTCTCTCCTCAAACCTCCAAATAGTTCTCTATTTCCTTTCAGATCAAGTCTGAACTCTTCCTTCTAGCCTTCAGATCCACCAGAATTTAAATCCTACTATAATCCAGTCATTATGGCACGTAATCCTCAACTTCATTCTTTCTCTAACACAATCAGTGTTACTACCTTTCAAAACAAATTTTTGCTATATTTAGATATTTAGTTTTTATTTTAGACAGTCTCACTCCATCACCAGGCTGAAGTGCAGTGGCACTATCTCTGTTCACTGCAACCTCTGCCTCCTGGGGTTAAGAGATTCCAGTGATTCTCATGCCTCGGCCTCCCTAGTAGCTGAAATTACACCACCACCCCCAGCTAATTTTTGTATTTTTGGTAGAGATGAAGTTTTGCCATCTTGGCCAGGCTGGTCTTGAACTCCTGACCTCAAGTGATCCACCCACCTTGGCCTCCCAAAGCGCTGGGATTACAGGCATGGACCACTGTGCCCAGCTTAATCAGATTATTTCTATCCCATCCTTCTATATTCAAATCTCATTCTCTTTTTTTTATAATTAAGTCACTTTATTCCCCCCTGAGATGGAATCTTGCTCTGTCACCCAGGCTGGGGTACAATGGCCTGATCTTTTTGCTTACTGCAACCTCTGCCTCCTGGGTTCAAGTGATTCTCATGCCTCAGCCTCCCGAGTAGCTGGGACCACAAGCGCATGGCATCACGCCCAGCTAATTTTTGTATTTTTAGTAGAGACAGGGTTTCACTGTGTTGGCCTGGCTGGTCTTGAACTCCTGACCTCAGGTGATCCATCCACCTCAGCCTCCTAAAGTGCTGGGATTACAAGTGTGAGCCACTGCACCCAGCCCAAGTCTCATTATCCTGTGTTCAAACTGTTCCCTTTCTGAGACCACTTTCATTTAGCCTTTCAGGTTTTCTATGTATAACGTACTTTTCAAGACCTACTTTAATTCTCAGCTCTTTTAATAATCAGAAATTCTATTGTGTTTTTATATCCATCTTCGCTTGATTCTCATTAAAATCCTGTGTAGGTAAGGAGAGCTAGCTTGGATTATCAGCTTTATTTTACAAATGAGGAAACTAAGGCTCTGAAATTAAGGGAACCTGCCCAAGCTTACATAGTAAGTGTCAGAGCTAGGATTTAAACCTACATCTTCTGATTAAGTCCAGTGATCAATTCCTGGTTTATAGTATGCTATGACACTTTTCTAAGTGCTCTAGAGTTTACAACCTATATTATGTTATTCAAAGTCTTATTTTCTATCCTCTGTTTTGTGGCACATAATGCACATTTGTTGTCCTCTAATTGCTGCCTATATAACTTATCTCTCTACTGGAGCAAATCAGACACTAACTCTTTTGTGGACTTTATATAGCTTAGTACAGTGCTACGCAAGTCATAAGCACTAAATACATCCTAGTTAGATGACTGATCCTTTACATTATATCACTCTCTAGCTTTCTTAAGGCCATATATTATGCTCTAGATAAATGTTTTCTTAAGGAATCAATACATTAATGATGGAAGTTTTTTTTCCCTGGGAGCACTCCCTCACACCTGGTATAAGGAACAGCCCTTAAGACTCCTTTTCACTACCTTTCATCTCGCTCTTGCTGCCTCTTGTTCTTTGGATAGATACCTCCTTCATACACAGAATTCAGTAGAGGGCCTGAAACACAACCTAGTAAGTAGGTAAGGGTTTTATTTTTATTTTCAAGCCTTCTCTAGACTTTCAGGAGCCAAAAGTTCAAATCACAGCGGGATTGATTCAGCCCTTTCACAAGCAATTTAGTACTATGCAGTTTGTTTAGAATGGTCAAGTTTCCAGGCTCTGGCAGAGCAGCGTCATTATCTCTCTAAGCCTTCATGTATCAGTTTCCCTGGGCATATTTCACTTTCCATGTCTTTCTTCTCTGAAATCAGGTGAACATGCAAAATCAGACACTTACACAATTATACACTTTTCAACAACCATGTCAAATATGTTCAAGAATTTACCACAACATTGGAAGTTGTTTTATCGCTCTTATTAGATAAAATCAAGAAGTATGCAAAAATTATACTCCTCAATCCTTAGTAGAAATGGGCACTATTTAACATTCTTCAGCTAGTACATCAACTAACTGAGAAAAGATAAGGTTTTTTTTTTTTTTTTTCCAGATTCTATTCAGTCCACCTCACAGCAACCTAAAAGGATAGACAGGCAGATGTTATCCCCATTTTACAAATGAGGAAATTGAGGGCTAGCATAGTATATGGTGAGATGGAACTAAAATAAGTTCGTCTTACTCTTAGTTAATTGCCCTCTCTCTCTGTGGTGGTTAATTTTAGGTATCAATTTAACTGGATTACCCAATATCTACAGAACTGGTAAAGTGTTACTTCTGGGTATGTCTCTGAGGCTGTTTCCAGAGAAGACTGGCATGTAAGTTGAAGGACTAAGTGAAGAAGATCTGCTATCAATGGAGGCAGATACCAACCAATCTACTTGGGTTGGGGGGCCCAGATAGAACAAAAAAGGAGAAAAAAGCTCTCCTCTTCCCTCCTGGGGCTAGGATACTCTTCTCTTCCTGCTTTTAGACATCAGAACTTCAGGCTCTCTGGACTTGGGACTCCAGGACTTATACCAGTGAACCCCTCCAGTTCCTCAAGTCTTTGGCATTTGACTGAGAATTACCCTAAAGGCTTCCTTAGTTCTGAGGCTTTTGGACTTGGACTGAGCCACACTACCAGTATCCTGGTGTCTCCAGCTTGCAGATGGACAGTCATGGGACTTCACCACTTCCATAATTGCATGAGCCAATTCCCCATCTGTCCATCCGTCCATCCATCCATCCATCCATCCATCCATCCATCCATCCATCATTCACCCATCCATCCTATTGGTTCTCTCTCTGTGGAAAACTCTGACTAATCTATCCTCTATTAATCTGCTGGATGTCCAGACTTCCCCGGATGACCCTTTTGTATATAAAAAGAAAACCAACACTGTAGACTTGGAATCTTATCTGACTAAACAGGAAGACTAAATCAGAAGTGAGTTTCTATCCATAGAAATAATATTACAATGAAGATAGAAAAGAAAACAGATCTTGGGCGGGGCGCGGTGGCTCACACCTATAATCCCAGCACTTTGAGAGGCCGAGGCGGGTGGATCACGAGGTCAAGAGATCGAGACCATCCTGGTCAAAGAGGTGAAACCCCGTCTACTAAAAATACAAAAAATTAGCTGGGCATGGTGGTGCGCGCCTGTAGTCCCAGCTACTCAGGAGGCTGAGGCAGGAGAATTGCTTGAACCCAGAAGGCGGAGGTTGCAATGAGCTGAGATTGTGCCATTGCACTCCAGTCTGGGTAACAACGGTGAAACTCCATCTCAAAAAAAAAAAAAAAAAAAAAAAAGAAAAGAAAACAGATCTTATTCCTTGTCATTACACAGAATAGAAAATGTATACTTAAAACTTACATTTTTTGTTTAATTACATTTTAAAAAAACATTTTACTTTTACCTGAGAAATCTTTTGTTTTTCAGAAATCTTGTTTTCTAAGCACCCCATGAAAAGATAGCAAACATTTTGACTCTCTTTTCTGAAGACCAATATTCTACAAATAATACTAACATTCAACATTTTAGTTTTATTAAATGCTCTTTAATTTCACTTTGTAAGATTTCTCTATCAGATAGTTTGCATATCACCTTTTGAGATGATTAAATATGAATTTTGTTAAAGTGATGTGAAGACACTGGCAATTTGAGAAATCATTTGGGTTATAATAGGAATCTTTCCATAGTGTCTGTTTCCTTTAAAAATATATTTAAGACATAAACATATGCATAAGGGTCATATACATACATGTTTTCAAAGAAAAACTATGTATATAGAGTTCCTAAAGTTTAAACTCATAAACATAATATCAGAAGAGATGAAAAACAAAAACTAAACTCAGCAGTTCTGAATTAAGTGTTCATAATAAACCTTTCCTAATAGGCTTTTACTTTTTCATCCAAAACAAGTAACTTGTAGTGAACAAGAAGGGAAGTATGTTAACTTAATTTTTTTTTTTTGAGATGGAATTTTGCTCTTGTTGCCCAGGCTGGAGTGCAACAGCGTGATCTCAGCTCACTGCAACCTCCGCCTTCTTGGTTCAAGGAATTCTCCTGTCTCAGTCTCTCAGTTAGCTGGGATTACAGCCATTTACCACCATGCCTGGCTAATTTTGTATTTTTTAGTAGACACAGGGTATTACCATATTGGTCAAGCTGGTCTTGAACTCCTGACCTCAGGTGATCCACCTACCTCTCAAAGTGTTGGAATTACAGGCGTGAGCCACGCCTGGCCTGTTAACTTAATTTTTAAAAGTTCCCTGCATACTTTTTGGAAGAAGGTGAGATTCTAATTTTGGGGGTTGGGAGTGGAGAGTAGGGAAGTGGATAAGAACGACAGGCAAAACTTTGGTTCTTATATATATGCTGCTGCTTTTTTTAAAATGAAGTTTTTGGCTGGGCGCGGTGGCTCACACCTTTAATCCCAGCACTTTAGGAGGCTGAGGCGGGCAGATCACAAGGTCAGGAGATCGAGATCGTCCTGGCTAACACGGTGAAACCCCGTCTCTACTAAAAATACAAAAAATTAGCCGGGTGTGGTGGCACATGCCTGTAGTCCCAGCTATTCAGGAGGCTGAGGCAGGAGAATCGCTTGAACCCAGGAGGCGGAGGTTGCAGTGAGCCAAGATCGCACCACTGCACTCCAGCCTGGGCGACGGAGTGAGACTCCACCTCAAAAAATAAAAAGCTAAAAATAAAATAAAGTTTTTATTCAACTGGGAAAATCATACTGGGAGAGGGTAACTACTATACAAAGTTAATTATCTGGTCATGAATTACATTTAAAATTGTAAGGTGTGAGTGGCAAGACCAGCAAGAAGATCACCATTGCTGACTGTCAACAACTCTAGTAAGTTTGAATTGTATTTTACTTTAACCACCAGACCATTCCTTCTGTTGCTCAGGAGAGCAGCCTTCCACCCCATTTGCTCACAGTATCCTAGAATCTTTGTGCTCTCACTGCAGTTCCCTTTGGGTTCCATGTTTTCCTTGTTCCCTTCCATGCCTAGCTGGATTGCAGCGTTAAGTTTATGATTATGAAACAAAAACCAAATACAAAACAAAATGTAAGGTGCCTATTGCTATACAAGTTCCCTAGTTTCAATTTATACATTTATCACTCATTTACTCAGTAATTTAACAATTACGTAATTCATGCCTATTAATTCCAAGGGCTTAGACTGGACCTTGAGATAAAAAATGAAGAATGCATGAGATCTGGTAGCCTAGAAGGGAGACAAACTGGAGTGTGAAAAATGAAGTCCTTTTCTTTTTTCTTTTTTTTTTTGAGACAGGGTCTTGCTCTAGCACCCAGGCTGAAGTGCACTGGCACAATTTTACCTCAACCTCTGCCTCCTAGGCTCAAGTGATCCTCTGGCCTCAGCCTCCCATATTATGAACTTTTCATTGCTAAATTTATTCACCAGATTAATATACCACATAACTGAAAATAACATAGTTCTAGAACAGAAATTAGGAACAAATTCACTAAAACTTTTTTTTAATCAGTGAGGAAACTACTGTATGAATGTCATTTTTTGAGTATATATAGCTATCTTTTATTTGTATGTTCTGGGTTTTTTTATTCATAGAAAAGAAAGTCCTCTCCTGATCTGAAGGTATGCATTCAAACTTATCCCCCAGGTTTCCTTGGCTGTTTGATTTTGTCTGTAGGGTAGGGATTTATCCTGAGACAATGGTCTTGCTAAGTTAGTAAAGCCATTCCATCACAAGTCATTAGTACTCTATCCATGCCCTTGAGTTTTTCACATGAGTTGGTTTTGATTTTAAACATAATCTGAAAAAAATTCTTCAAATGCTTCAAATACTCTGTGTTCAGGGGAAGACATCAGGCCTAGCAGGAATTTGGATCATGAGCAGCTTCTAGAATCAGGCTCTGGTTAGTAGAATCCACCTATCTGTCTGTGTAGAGTCCTTCTAGTAGCAGCTTGGCATGATTCTTGCCATGGTCCTCTGGAGCGCTGCTGTAAAAGTGATAGCCTAAAGCCCACAGACTCCTCAGGGTTGCCTCCTTTCATGTGATCCGTGTAAATAAAGTAAGAACTTGTTGAGCATGCCCCTTGAGAGTGCTGTGATTTAGTCAGCCATCTGAGGTGATACACCTATGGAGCATGCTATTCCCCTAACACTTTTGATTTATTTAGGATCTGTGAACTGAATAGGTCTCAAGACCTTCCTTCAGGATGTGAGAAAAATATTCTATTCTACCACTTCTATGAGGCACGTGCCCAACACACCATCTTTAGCTCACATAACTTACCAACAATCCCAAACTATTTCAGCAGAAGGTTGTGGTCATAAACAGGCAAGCAAAGGTTTCCAAGTAAAGCCACCACTGTGGTGGACATTACAGTTGGGTTCCATAGACCCAACCTACAAAGGTCTACTTAATAATAAAAGGCTGTTCTTGTTTGGTTTATTTTCATTCAAGAATCATTAGTTTTTCTGACCACCAGCTTTGTAAAGTTGACTTCAAACTCTCTGAGGCCTGCATTATGGTCTTTGGCCTGGATCTTTTGGAATTTGATGTGGTGAACAGACAAACACAAGAAGTTGCAGCCTACAGAACTGAAAAAGTGGATCTGGATTGTCATGTGGGTGCCATGGAGTTATAGGGGTACTATCAGTGAAGCATGGAGATGATGGTGATGGCTGTGGCTTCAGCTCCCTCTTGCAGTCCTCCTGACAATGCCTTTTAAAATGGATTAACTTTTAAAAGGATATTTGTGCTCTCTCCTCCCACTGCCCAAGATGCTGAAAGGAAAGAAGGCCAAGGGGAAGAAGGTGGCTTCAGCCCCTGCTGTCATGAAGAAGCAGGAGGCCAAGAAAGTAGTGAATCCTGTTTGAGGAAAGGCCTAAGAATTTTGGCCTTGGACAGCACATCCAGCCCAAAAAAGACCTCACCTGCTTTGTGAAATGGCCCCGCTATATCAGGTTGTGGCGGCAGAGAGCCATCCTCTATAAACGCCTGAAAGTGCCTCCTGCAATTAACCAGTTCACCCAGGCCCTGGACTACCAAACAGCTACTCAGCTACTTAAGCTGGCCCACAAGTATAGAGACAAAGCAAGAGAAGAAGCAGAGGCTGTTGGCCTGGGCTGAGAAGAAAACTGCTGGCAAAGGGGACATCCCCACTAAGAGACCACCTGTCTTTTGAGCAGGAGTTAACACGGTCACCACCTTGGTGGAAAACAAGAAATCTCAGCTGGTGGTGATTGCACACAACGTGGATCCCATTGAGCTGGTTGTCTTCTTGCCTGCCCTGTGTTGTAAAATGGGAGTCCCTTACTGCACTATCAAGGGGAAGGCAAGACTGGGATGTCTAGTCCACAGGAAGACCTGCACCACTGTCGCCTTCACACAGGTTAACTTGAAAGACAAAGGTGCTTTGGCTAAGCTGGTGGAATCCCGACCAATTACAATGACAGATATGATGAGATCCACCATCACTGGGGAGACAATGTCCTGCGTCCCAAGTTTGTGGCTTGCATCGCCAAGTTCGAAAGGGCAAAGGCTAAAGAACTTGCCACTAACCTGGGTTAAATGTACACTGTTGAGTTTTCTGTACATAAAAATAATTAAAACAATACAAATTTTCCTTAAAAAAAGGATATTTGTATAGCATTTTGCAATTACTGAAAGTAGACTTTTTAATTCAAAAAGGTACAGAAACCACATTTTAGATTGTGGCTAAAATTTAAAATTCATGGCTGGGTGTGGTGGCTCATGCCTGTAATCCCAGCACTATGGAAGGCTGAAGTGGGTGGATCACCTGTCAGGAGTTCAAGACCAGCCTGGCCAACATGGTGAAAGGTGTCTCTACTAAAAATATAAAAATCAGCTAGGCATGGTGGTGCACATCTCTAATCTCAGTTGCTCAGGAGGCTGAGGCAGGAGAATTGCTTGAACCTGGAAGGTTGAGGTTGCAGTGAGCCGAGATCTCACCACTGTACTTCAGCCTCAGCAACAGATCCAACAGAGCAAGACTCTGTCTCAAAAAAAAAATTTTTTTTAATTCATCATGATTATCAGATATTTAATCATTAAATCTTATACCTTACAGCATCTATCTAGTTCTTACTGGAAAAGCCTCCTTGTAGTTAACACATACATATTTATGGATTATTGAGAATTATTTTGCTGGAGGCAAACTCATATACTTTTAATTAGTAAAGCATGAGTCCATCCCATTTAAGGACTCATGCTTTACTTATAAAGAATTACTCAGGGACAACCTAATAAGAAAATGTATGGTGCACTGAAATAATTAAAATGCACAATTCCATGGTACCTATATTCATTCTACAAAGAATAAGGATGGAAAAAACACCTTCCAAGCACCAATCCTTGTCTTTAGAAGATTGAAATTTCATTACAAATGATTCTTTCTACAACTAGCTATTGGTTGATCTATTTTTTTTTTTTTTTTGAGACAGAGTCTCACTCTGTCACCTAGGCTGGAGTGCAGTGGTGCAGTCTCGGCTCACTGCAACCTCTGCCTCCCAGGTTCAAGTGATTCTCCTGCCTCAGCCTCTGGAGTAGCCGGGACTACAGGTGAATGCCACCATATCCGGCTAATTTTTTTTTGTGTGTATTTTTTTTTAGTAGAGATGGGGTTTCATCATGTTAACCAGGATGGTCTCAATCTCCTGACCTTGTGATCCACCCACCTTGGCCTCCCAAAGGTTGACCTTAAATTTGACTTGTGTGCAATGGCTGCAAATAGCAGCCTCCTTGGTAGTGTTTGCAGCCTGTTGCTACTATGGGTTGCTCTAACAAACCTTGGAGTCAGCCCTTTCCAATGTATATTCATGTTTCTGATGCTGCACTATCCCAAAACTAGAAAAAAACAAACAAAACTTGATCTGGAGGGGTTTGAGATGGAAGTCACTGTTGCCACATCCCTTCCTGCCTTGCAGTCTCTTCAGCCTGCCAGGAGTGAGGGGACAGCAGGTAGAAACAGTATCCTACACCGGGCGTGGTGACTCACGCCTGTAATCCCAGCACTTTGGGAGGCCGAGGCGGGTGGATCACGAGGTCAAGAGATCGAGACCACCCTGGTCAACATGGTGAAACCCTGTCTCTACTAAAAATACAAAAAAATCAGCTGGGCATGGTGGCATGTGCCTGTAATCCCAGCTACTCAGGAGGCTGAGGCAGGAGAATTGCCTGAACCCAGGAGGCGGGGGTTGCGGTGAGCGGAGATCACGCTATTGCACTCCAGCCTGGGTAACAAGAGCGAAACTCCGTCTCAAAAAAAAAAAAAAAAAAAAAAAGAAACAGTATCCTTCAACTTTAACTGTCAGCTCTTTCCCCTCCCTTGAAAGGAACTCTCTTCTTCTGATATGATTATACTGCTGCCTTTCCCCTACTAGAAAAAAAAATAAGTACTACAATGAATGTGAGAATATTTCTTCTAATATTTTACAGTTTTTCAATGAGAACTGAATTATGGTATGTATAAGTGTTTTGCTTAGTGGAAAAAGGGTAAAAGCCACAATTTCACAGCTACCCAAATCCCACTTTCCTTTTAGTAAAGGAATTCTGCCTTAGACCTTTTCCCTCTGGAATATGGAATTTCTGCTAAACCTGGTAATGAGGGAGAAAGTCCAGATGAAAAGAAAGTATCATGCTCTCTTTTCTCCAAGATGCAGTCTGTAAGAATCTATAGTCATAAATCACATACCCTGGCTGGACGTGGTGGCTCAACCCTGTAATCCCAGCACATTGGGAGGCTGAGGTGGGTGGATCACCTGATGTCAGAAGTTCGAGACCTGCCTGGTCAACATGGTGAAACCCCATCCCTACTGAAAAGACAAAAATTAGCTGGGCATGGTGGCATATGCCTGTTATCCCAGGTACTTGGGAGGCTGAGGCAGGAGAATCACTTGAACCTGGGAGGTGGAGGTAGTGGTGAGCCGAGATCACACCACTGCACTCCAGCCTGGGCAACAAGAGTGAGACTCCATCTCAAAAAAAAAAAAAATTAGCCAGGTGTGGTAGAGGGAACCTGTAATCCCAGCTACTCAGGAGGCTGAGGCAAGAGAATGGCTTGAACGCTGGAGACGGAGATTGCAGTGAGCTGAGATCATATCACTGCACTCTTGCTTGGGTGATAGAGTGAGCCTCCATCTCAAAAATAAATAAATAAATAAAAGAAAAGAAAAAGTAAGTTATGTAGCTAAGATAATTTTGATTTTGTTACTATTAATCAGCATTGATAGGCACTTGAGTTTTTATTAGCCTTTGGGTTTTTATAATATAGAAAAACAACTCATCCAGAAGTCAGTCTGGCAAAGTCAAGAACTGAGGGGACATTTACTTTACTTTTGTTTTTCTTATACCATAAAGAATAACATTTAGGGAAAAAAAGTAAAATTATTTACCTAGATTTAAAAGATAAACTTATTTTTTTAACTAGTGGAAGGAAGGAAGGAAGGAAAGGAAGGAGGGAGGGAGGAAGGAAGGCTGGCCAAATTTAATTATGGCTGTGATAATCAGATTTGCTTTTCAAATCATATTTAAGAAGTATGCCTTTCACAGCCACCAGGTACAGTACACATCAGATAAATATAAAATCGTGTCTGTGAATACATTCTTCAGAAACAAAGAATACTTCAGTGAAATGAAAATTCTTGCTGCTGTTAAGTAGCCAGGAAAAGATCCTTTAAAGGTGTACATTTACCATCCGAGAAAGGCTACTCTGTACAATAGCAGAAATTGAAGAAAACGAGAAGACAGCTCTCTACACCCCCTGGTGGCCACCCCACAAACATTTATAAATAGCTGATTCTGGACAGGAAGTGTAACCCACACGGTGGGAGGTGCACAGTCAGGGTGCAGAAAAGCCCATAGCAAAAGATGAACCCCGGTAGTTTATGCCTGTAATCCCAGCACTTTGGGGTCAGGAGTTTGAGACCAGCCTAACCAACATGGCAAAACCCCATCTCTACTAAAAATACGAAAAATTAGCTGGTCTGATGGCGGGCCCTGTAATCTCAGCTACTTGAGGGGCTGAGGCAGGAGAATTGCTTGAACTCGGAAGGTAGAGTGTGCTGAGATCGCACCATTGCACTCCAGCCTGGGCGAGGGTAAGACGCTGTCTCAGGAAAAAAAAAAAAAGTTGAACACAGCTTCAATATGATCAGGTACAGCCACTGATAAATAGAAAGCTCTACTTTTGAAAACAAAAACAAAAACAAACAAACAAAAAAACGTGGTGGCTCACTCCTGTAATCCCAGTACTTTGGGAGTCCGCGTAGGGCAGATCATCTGAGGTCAGGAGTTTGAGACCAGCCTGGCCAACATGGTGAAACTTTGTCTCTACTAAACATACAAAAATGAGCAGGGCGTGATGGCACCCTGGATGTCAGAGCAAGACTCTGTCTTGGGAAAAAATAAAATAAACTCTCTCTTTCTAATATATATTTCCCATCATAAGTACAATAAATATTCTGTCTTTCCATTAAATGTTAACGTCATCACTCTTATTTCTTTCTTTTTTTTGTTTTTTTTTTTAGATGGAGTCTCATTCTGTCACCACACTAGAGTGCGGTGGCATAATCTCAGATGACTGCAACCTCTGCCTCCCAGCTTTAAGTGATTCTCCTGCTTCAGCCTTCTGAGTAGCTGCGATTACAGGCACGTGCCACCACACCCAGCTAATTTTTCTGTATTTTTAGTAGAGACAGGATTTCACCATGTTGGCCAGAATGGTCTTGATCTCTTGACCTTGTGATCCACCTTCCTTCCTTGGCCTCTGAAAGTGCTGGGATTACAGGTGTGAGCCACCTCGCCTGGCCATCACTGTATTTTTTTAAAGTAGAAGAGTGAGGTGATAGAGCATTTTATTGCCAAATGGTTCAGAAGAAGAATTCCTCGTATTTTATTTGTAATTTCTTTGTAAGTATGAGATTGCTCTTGTTTTTTTTTTTTTTTTTTTTTTTTTTGGTCAGAGTCTCACTCTGTTGCCAGGTTGGAGTACAGTGGCATGATCTTGGCTCACTGAAACCTCTCCACCTCCTGGGTTCAAGTGATTCTCCTGCCTCAGCCTCCCAAGTGGCTGGGATTACAGCCACTATGCCTGGCTAACTTTTGTATTTTTAGTAGAGACGGGGTTTCACCATGTTGGCCAGGATGGTCTTGATCTCTTGACTTCGTGATCTGCCTGCCTTGGCCTCCCAAAGTGCTGGGATTGCAGGCGTGAGCCACCGCGCCTGGCCTAAAAATTTTTTTAAAGATAAAAAAGATGAGGATTAAATGATCAGTTCATAGTTACAATGGACCCACTTTGTTTCCCTTTTAAAAATTTAAGTACAATACTCATATTCTCTAGGTTAATATAGTCTTTAACTGGAACATATATGGAGACAGAAATACATCTCCTCTTTTCACAGCGAAAGATGGACAATGTAACTTTATTGTGATGATATTTAAATCTATAGAAAAATTATCAAATAGGTTTGAATAAAGATGAAGTCATATCTCAAAGATAAAATATAAACAGCAAATACATGATAAAGAAAATATTACAAGGTACCACAGACAGAAATCTGGAGGAAAGATTTAGCTGGAAATTAGTAACAGTGCCACTGAGAAACCATCTCTTATATAAGGGCATGCCCTAATCCAATGTTTTGTTTTGTTTTTAATCACTGGAGTGTAATGGTGCAGTCTTGGCTCACTACAACCTCTGACTCCTGGGTTCAAGCAATTCTCTTGCCTCAGCCTCCTAAGTAGCTGTGACTACAGGCAGGCATGCCACCATGCCCAGCCAATTTTTGTATTTTTAGTAGAGATGGAGTTTCACTATGTTGACCAGCTTGCTCTCAAACTCCTGACCTTGTGATCCACCTGCCTCAGATTCCCAAAGTGCTGGGATTACAGGTGACCGCCATGGCACCCAGCCCAATCCTGTTCTCTCTCTCTCTCTAGCCATGCGGCTGAATTACTATAACAGCTTCCTTGATAGTTTTCTTGCCTCCCTTCATGCTGTATAATATTGCCACACTCTTTCTGGCAGTCACGTTGTTATTTTTTTCTATTTTGTGTGAGAGATTAGAGTTTTATTATTACTCAAATCAGACTTCCTCAAAACTTGAGGATCAGAGTTTTTTTTGTTTTGTTTGTTTCTTTTCTTGAGATGGAGTCTCATTCTGTTGCACAGGCTGGAGTGTGGTGGTGTGATCCTGGCTCACTGCAACCTCTGCCTCCCGAGTTCAAGTGATTCTTCTACCTCAGCCTCCTGAGTAGCTAGGATTACAGGTGTGTCCCACCACACCCAGCTAATTTTTTGTATTTTTAGTAGAGACAGGGTTTCACGATGTTGGTCAGGCTGGTCTTGAACTCCTGACCTCGTGATCCACCTGCCTCGGCCTCCCAAAGTCCTGGGATTACAGGCGTGAGCCACTGTGCCCGGCCTGAAAGATTATTTCTAATTTGTGACTTCCTCAATAAATGGCATTTGGTTAAAATAAGATTATTATTATTATTATTATTTTTGAGACAGAGTCTCGCACTGTTGCCCAGGCTGTAGTGCAGTGGTGCGATCTCAGTTCACTGCAATCTCTGACTCCTGGATTCAAGCAATTCTCCTGCCTTACCCTCCCAAGTAGCTGGGACTACAGGCGTGTGCCACCAAGCCCAGCTAATTTTTTTGTATTTTTAGTAGAGACGGGGTTTCACCATGTTCGTCAGGATGGTCTGAATCTCCTGACCTTGTGATCCGCCTGCTTCAGCCTTGTTATTATTATTTTTGAGACAGAGTCTTGCTCTGTTGCCCAGGCTGGAGTGAAGTGGCTCAATCTTGGCCCACTGCAACCTCCACTTCCCAGGTTCAAGTGATTCTCCTGACTCAGCCTCCTGAGTAGCTGGGACTACAGGTGTGCATCGCCACATCTGACTAATATTTTTTGTATTTTTAGCAGAGACAGGGTTTCACCATGTTGGCAAGGTTGGTCTCAAACTTCTGACCTCATGTGATCTGCCCACCTCTGCCTCCCAAAATGCTGGGATTACAGGCAGGAGCCACTGCCCCTGGCCAAAATAACAGGTTATTAATGCAATGTCTTCTTTATTACCTGGAACTGGCCTTTAGTTTTAGTGATATGCTATTTACTATTTAATTCCCTACGGTAAGCTACATTTGAACCCATAGACAAGATGAGTTTAGGCATGCTCAATGAAATGATTCAATGCTGGTTTATTCTGCGGTAAGTGATGGAGAACTCCAGAACATTCTGAAGCAGTCAAACATAAAAAAATCAATCTCCTACATATCATATAGCTACAAGGGGCATTCAATCAGCAGGTAAGATAAGTTTCTTTGCTTCAAGTGAGCCTAAAGTTTTTTATAGATTTAGAAATAGCCTGGCAAACACACTAAATGTAAGACATTATAACAGATTAGCAAATTTTGATTGTTTAATGGTAGCTACTAGGTTTTCTTCATTTCTTATTTCTATAAGTGATCCTTTTCTTGTGAATAGAAGAAGGCTGCAAAAACCCTCTGCTGGTCAAAGTGACGAAGTATTGCCAAAACCTTTAAAAACAGAGATCTTTATAGTTCTTTTTCTTTTCTTTTTTTTGTAAGACAAAGCCTTGCTCTGTTAGCCAGGCTGGAGTGCATTGGCTTGATCTCTGCTCACTGCAACCTCCTCCTCTCAGGTTCAAGCGATTCTCCTGCCACAGTCTCCTAAGTAGCTGGGATTACAGGCACGCGCCACCATGCCTGGCTAATTTTTTTTTTTTTTGTATTTTTAGTAAAGATGAAGTTTTACCATGCTGGCCATGCTGTTCTCAGAATCCTTGCCTCCCAAAGTGCTGGGATTACAGGCGTGAGCAACTACACCTGGCCTTTATAGTTCTTAACAGCTTGAAAATTCAGTACTATGAATAAGAGAACAGACTTCCATTGCCTCATCATTATGTAATTATTTTGAACAACGATTATTCCAGTGGATGTCAAGTCAATATGTAAAGCTTGAAATTGACTAAGAGAGCTTTAAATCAGATCTCCTAGAAAATTAAGAATTCTTTTTCATTCTAATGGAAATAAGGTTATGATATCTCTGGTACACATTCAGCTAAAATTTATTTCGGGTTTCTACCTCCTTAGCCTTATGCAAAAGAATGATACTCTCTTTGCTAACAGACACTTAGAATTTAAGTGTTAAGCCCAAAATTAATGTGATAACCAACTCAGGAAAAATGCTGCCAATAATCTCAGTTACTGATTAAAAGGAACTATTTTTATATCAAGTTGTAATTTACAAGAGGGAGGCATATATCAACAAACGCCTGATAATTATTAAGGAAGCATTCCCTTTAGCCAGCTTCTTCACAATGAACATGCTTATTGTGTCCTTTCTCTGTATCATCTAGAATGGCTCATTTGAGTTCAGAGGACACAAGTTTGGTCATTTCAACTGAAATGACCATCAAGAACTTATCAGGCTTGTTTCTTGTGAGAGGGAGTCACTTTTAAAAATCCCTTAAAGGAGAGCTGGGCATGGTGGCTCATGCCAGTAATTCCAGCACTTTGAGAGGCCAAGGTGGGCAGATCACGAGGTCAAGAGATGAAGACCAAACTGGCCAACAAGGTGAAACCCCGTCACTACTAAAAATACAAAAATTAGCTGGGCATGGTGGCGCATGCCTGTAATCCCAGCTACTCGGGAGGGTGAGGCAGGAGAATTGCTTGAACCCAGAAGGCGGAGGTTGCCGTGAGCCGAGATCGTGCCATTGCACTCCAGTGTGGGTAACAACAGCGAAACTCCGTCTCAAATAAATAAATAAATAAAATAAAAATCTTTCTGAGTCAGTAATTGGATTCCTAAAGGCAATCACTCCCACTCCGTTTTTTTGTTTTTTTTGTTTTTTTTTTTTTTTAAGAGAAGAGGGTCCTGATGCGTTGTCCAGGCTGGTCTTGAACTCCTGGCCTTAAGCAATCTCAAGTAGCTGGAATTATAGGCACAAGCCACCATGCCTAGCTGCAATCCCAGTTTTTGAGAGACCAAGGAAGTATCTTGGAAGACAAGGATAAGCTAATCTGATAAGACTGAAAAAGAATTAGAGAAAAAACAATAACTACAACAAAAATATCCTACAACAAAAATGCAGTAGGATATAATGAACAAACATACCTCCTGGGCTGTGACCGGCATTCTTCCTCCCCACTGTCTGCCTCCTGTATAGACAGAAAATGAAGAAAAAAAAATTTTTAGACCTGAGGTTTCATATCATAGTATCACTAATACAATTTTACTAAGTTTCACATATATATTTGAACTACATTACTCATGTTGTATACTTGAACTAAATTCTCTTCATAAAAAATGACTTCAACCAACCCAGGAGGTTGATGGCAATAGAACTAATTCTTGGAGGTAACTTCAACAACAGTCCATGAACAAATTTCATTGACAATGAAGTGATATTCATTTAAAGAATTACCTCTGAAACCAACTAAACATGTTATTTTACTGTTGCACTACTTCAGCTTCAAAATGAGTGGACATGCTGACTACCACCAATAAATTTCATCAAGATAACCTAGTAATGATTCTGATCCCCAAAGAACTACCTAAACAAAGAACACCACTTAAAAGAGAGTGCTCATGATCAAATCACCATCATCATCAACGTAATGGCTACCACTTACTGAGTACTTACAATGTGCTAGGCATTGTGTTCATCAGTTTATTTTATTTATTTTTATTTATTTATTTATTTACTGAGACAGAGTCTTACTCTGTTGCCCAGGATGGAGTGCAGTGACATGATCTCGGCTCACTGCAATCTCCGCCTCCCAGGTTCAAGCGATTCTCCTGACTTAGCCTCCCCAGTAGCTGGGATTACAGGCCTGTGCCACCACACCCAGCTAATTTTTGTATTTTCAGTAGAGATGAGATTTCACCATGTTTGCCAGGCTGGTTTAGAACCCCTGACCTCATGATCTGCCCACCTCAGCCTCCCAAAGTGCTGGGATTACAGGCGTGAGCCACCTTGCCCAGCTGTATTCTTCAATTTAAGTACATTACTCTACTTATTCCTTATAAACCCAAAAGTTGATGGTACCATATTTTAAAATTAATTCTAGTACACACAATAACACAGGATAAATCAATGTGGTATAAAAGCACTGTTGGTTAGTGACCCACCCAGGGATGCCAAACGATGACAACGAAAAGCACTAAATTATAGTTCAATTATAATATTTATTTATTCTTAGTGTGGCACATAAAATAATAGAAAGTCTTACAACTTACGGCAACTTAGACTCAATGAATATTTTACAGATGAAGAAACAAAAGGGAAATAAGTTGTCCAAGGAGACCCATGTGGTAAAGAATTAAAACGAAAAAATACTGACTCCCAACTAGCTTTAAAAACTTACCATTTACCTCTCCCTGGCCTGGGTTAAAAATTAGTGCATGTTATGATACAGATCTTTAGAGAGGTAAGAATTTTGACATGAAGGAAAAGTAAGGAAAGATGGAGAGACTTTTTCTTTAAATTTGTTCCCTGACAATTTGTATTTCTTCTCTCATCACTTTTGCCCTATCTGGAAAACAAAGAACTATTAGGTAGAAGGAGAAAAATAATCTCAGAGAATATGTGTACTGTCTGCCAACGAGCCACCTGCATTTTCTAGTTTATGAAGCCATCCTCATCTACCTTTACATCATTCTGTCTCCATTCCTGGGCAGCCAAGGCTAGCTCTATAACTCATTCCCATGTTACTTTCATTACTGATTTCAAACATGTCTCTCTCTCTTCCCCGCCCTGCCCCCCCCCCACTCCTGACAAAGGAATAATAAAACAAAGATTCCGCTCCCAGAGGGAGCACAGGTAGAAAGTGTCATAGTGTATTACACTCTTTGCATATAGGAGAGAGGTTTTAAGTTAGAAAGTATGCCCTTTAGAGACTGAAAAGAAAGGTTTAAAATGGGAAAGAACTGTCTCTTGACTCAATTATCAGAACCTGGAAAGTTTGCAAGAATGAAAATGAAAAGGCTCAGATAAACAAATGTAAATGTTAGATTTTTGTGCTCAAAGGAACTGTAGTAAATAGAAATGATTTCCTGGAATATCATTTAACAAGCAGTGCTTCGGTATTGTTTTTATTAATAGATCTCAAATTATAATGTAATCTTCTCACTTTTTTTTTTTTTTTAGACATTGTCTTGCTCTGTCTCCCAGGCTGGAGTGTAGTGATGCGATCTCAGCTCACTGCAACCTCCACCTCCCAGGTTCAAGCAATTCTTCAGTCTCAGCCTCCCAAGTAGCTGGGACTACAGGCACCCCCCCACCACACCCAGCTAAGTTTTGTACTTTTTAGTAGAGATGGGGTTTCGCCATGTTGGCCAGGCTGGTCTCGAACTCCTGACCTCAGCCTCCCAAAGTGCTGAGATTACAAGCGTGAGCCACTGTGCCCGGCCACATTATTTTTTACTTGTCTTAAATATAAAAATATGTTTAACGTACGAGTTATGAGGTACAAAATGAATAGCTATGAATACCATTCCACCTAAGAGCTATAATACTACCAATACTGATGCTTCTACCCGTTTGCCTCTTATCTCCCATTCCTCTTTCCATTATGTGACTACTATCCCAAAGTTCCAAAGTATACTTTTTTTGTTTTCACCTCATTTTATTTAAAAGAATTTCAAACACAAAATTGAAAGACCTTATAGTGAACTTGTATATCTACCATCTAGATTGTATCATTAATATTTTCTATACTTTTTTTTTTTTTGAGACAGAGTCTCACTCTGTTGCCCAGTCTGGAGTGCAGTGGCACAATCTCAGCTCACTACAACCTCCACCTCCCAGGTTCAAGCAATTCTTCTGCCTCAGCCTCTTGAGTAGTTGGCATTACAGGCATGTGCCACCATGCCCAGCTAATTTTGTATTTTTAGTAGAGATGGGGTTTTGTCATTTTGCCCAGGCTGGTCTCACCTCAGGTGATCTGCCTACCTCAGTCTCCCACGGCCTGGTATTACAGGCTGGGCAACCATGCCCAGCCAATATTTTCTATACTTTTTAGAAAATCATGTCTATTAATCTCTCTAAGTCCATCTTATTTTTTGGATGCATTTTGATGTCAATTACTGATATGAGTACATCTGCCTTTAAGTGCATAATAATTAATTAGAATTCAATATTTCTTTAAAGTTTTTACTTTTTTTTGTTTAAAAATCTTGCTCTGTCACTTGGACTAGAGTGCAGTAGTATTATCGTAGCTCACTGCAGCCTCAAACTTCTGGGTTCAAGCAATTCTCCTGCCTCACCCTCCTGAGTAGCTAGGACTACAGGTGCACACTGCCATGCCTGGCTAATTTTTTTTTATTTTTAAATTTTTGTAGAGACAGGGTCTCACCATGTTGTTCAGGTTGGTCTCGAACTTCTGGCCTCAAGCGATCTTCCTGCCTTGACCTCTCAGAGTGCTAGGATTACAGGTATGAGCCACTGGACCTGGCCAATTGTTTTTTTTTTTTTTTTAAGGTAAAATTTATATACAATGAAATGTACAAATCTTAAGTGCACCATTCAATGAGTTTTGATAAATGTATGTATCCATGTAATTCAAACTGCTGTCAAGAAATGGAACATTTCTATCACCTCATAAATTTTTCTCATAGGCATTCCCAGTCAAAATGTGGCACCATCCACCCCTGAGGCAACCCTGTTCTGATTTTCCACCACAGATATTTTCCGTCAAAAATTAGTATACAGGATATGATTCCACTGTTCATTAAATGGGATTATATACTATGTACTATTTTATGGGAGGATTTCTGAAAAACATTCAGCATAATGTTTTTGAGATTCATCCCATGTTTTGCATTAAATAGCAGTTCATTCCTTTTTATCGCTGAGGATTCCATCATATGAATATACTAGTTTGTTTATTCATTCTCTTATTGATGGATACATTTGAGATATTTGAATTTTTGCCTATCATGAACAAAGTTATTAGCCAGACATGGTGGTTCATGTCTGTCATCCCACCACTTTGGGATGCTGAGGCAGAAGGATCGCTTGAAGCCAGAAGTTTGAGACCAGCCTGGGTAAAATAGCAAGACATTGTCTCTACCAAAAAAGTAAAAGAATTAGTCAGACATGGCACCTTTGGTCTTACTTTGGCGGCTGAGGTGGGAGGATCTCTTGAACCCAGGAGTTTGAGGCTGCAGTGAGCTATGATCATGCCACTGCATTCCAACTTGGGTGACAGAGTGAGACTCTAAAATAAATAAATAAATAAACAAATAAATAAATAAAGCTATTATGTAAATATCCTTTTGTGAAGTTTTTTTGGGGGGTTGATATATGTTTTTATTTCTTTTGGGTCACAGGACAGATGCATGTGTAGTTTTATATAAAATTGCCAGGTCTTCTCCCAAAGCATTTACACCACTTTATGCCCTCATCCACAATGCATGAGCGTTATAACTTAACTCTAATTGGCAATTCTTTTCCCCTATGGTTATTGTTTTCTAGGTTCTCAGAAACCTTTACCTTCTAGTCATGAACATATTCTACCATATTTTCTTTCTTTTTTCTTTTTAAGATGGAGTCTTGTTCTGTTGCCCAGGCTGGAGTGCAGTGGTGCAATCTTGGTTCACTACAACCTCTGCCTCCTGGGTTCAAACAATTTTCCTGCCTCAGGCTCCTGAGTAGTTGATATTATAGGTGTGTACCACGACGCCTGGCTAATTTTTTGTATTTTTAGTAGAGACAGGGTTTCACCAGGTTGGCTAGACCAGTCTCGAACTCCTGACCTCAGGTGATCCCCCTGCCTCAGCTTCCCAGAGTGCTGAGAGCCAGCATGCCTGGCCTATCATATTTTCTTATAAAAGCTTTATTATTTTATACAAAAGGTCTACAATCCATCTTGAATTAATATTTTTATACAGTGTGAGGCAGGGGTAGAGGTTCACTTTTTTTGTATGAATATCTAGTTTTCAAACACCATTTGTTGAAAAGACTTTTAATTCTTTCTCCATTAAATTATTTGAATAATCTATAAAAAATTCAAATTACAGTATAAGTGAGGGTCTACCTCTGGGTTCTCTATTCTGTTCCATTGATTATTTGTCAGTCCTTACACTAGTACCACAATACCATATTGACTACTGTAGTTTATAACAATTTTTGAAGGAAGTATAAATCCTCTACCTTCATTTTTTTCCCCAAGGTCATAAATGGTGAAGTCAGGATTTGAACTTGGGTCTATCTTTCTGCTATAATCAGCTGCATCTAAACTAAGAATCTTACTTTGATATTTATAACCCAAGATGGCAATTGGGAGGGAGATGAAGAAGGAATGTATTTTTTCATGACTTATAATAAAATAGTATCCTTTGCATCTTTCCTCTATGACTTCTACACTTTAAAGTAGTGCCAAAGTGTAGAAAATTCCTTTGGCCCATGAAAAAAAAAGCAAATCAGAACAGTGTTTTTAACATGAGAGCCACAAATAATTTTTTCTTTCTTTCTTAATGTTTCAATAGCCAGGTAAATGAATAATTTGTTTTTCCTTCTGTTTACTTCAGAAAAAAAAAAAAAAAAAACTTGAGGGGGAAAAAAACCCCTCAGCATATCAAGGCATTAAAGTTCTTAGAGTAAAGTGGATTTAAAAGGAATGAACAAAATGTTCTATTGTGTTAATTTCAGCAGAATTCACTGCCAAAAAAGCAAAGATACAACATTTCTTATTTGATAAGAGTAATCATCAGGTAATGCAGTTATCTTGAACAGTAGCATTCAAGTGGTAGCTGAAGGTAGAATGCTTATCATTCTATTCTAACAAGTGCAGAAACCAGATATAACCACTTTCCTTGTCAAGTAACTTCATATATTGTTACTGAAAAATGCCAAATAGTCAACCTGTTCAAAACATTAGAAATTACTAGGAGAAAAGTGTAGAGACAGCTTTTAGTTTCTTAGTGAAGAGAATAACTTCTGATTCGTAAGGAGGATATCTAATTAATTAAATTACTAAATACATGCTTGCTGGCTTTTCTTATGGTCTAATTTCCAAGAGCCCTATTGTTAAATGACTTTTAAAAAGTATAATTACTTCTTATGTTCTTAAGAAAAATTTGACCTAGAAACGGTAAAGTATTAGACCCTAGATACATGTACATTTAATTTTAGGGTGTTCGAGAGCCATTAAGTTTTTTGCTTTTTGAGACAGAGTCTCACTCTGTCACCCAGGCTGGAGTGCAGCGGTGTGAGCTCAGCTCACTGCATCCTCTGCCTCCTGGGTTCAAGCGATTCTCCTACCTCAGCCTCCAAAGTAGCTGGGATTACAGGCGCCTGCCACCACGCCTGGCTAATTTTTGTATTTTTACTAGCGATAGGGTTTTCCATGTTGGCCAGGCTGGTCTCAAACTCCTGACCTCAAGTGATCTGCCTACCTCAGCCTCCCAAAGTGCTGGGGTCACAGGCATGAATTAATTGAAAGATTAATGCATTCTTAATAATCTGTTTACTACCTGATCACAAAAACAGGTTACTAAATAAAATATGTCTGGAAAATATAGAGGGACCCAAGTCATATTTGCTGAGAAGTAGGCTTGTGGGAGGGAGGTGCTGCCAGCCTTGAACACTGGGCTAGCAGAGTATTAAGCAATATTTTCCCAAATCTTATCATTTAAGATTCTTTACACTTTCTATTTGCTCCAATCCAAGTGGTCTCATTTATCATCCTCCAAAGGTACCTATTGACTTCCTTTGTTCATGCTGTTGTGTCAACCTAGAAAGCCCCTCTCCCCTCTCCTATAGTCTTTTCCAGCCTTCAAAGCTAGTTTCAAACACTAGTAGTTTGTGACATTTCTTTTTCTTTTTCTTTTTTTTGAGACGGAGTTTTGCTCTTGTTACCCAGGCTGGAATGCAATGGCATGATCTTGGCTCACCGCAGCCTCTGCCTCCTGGGTTCAGGCAATTCTCCTGCCTCAGCCTCCTGAGTAGCTGGGATTACAGGCACGTGCCACCACGCCCAGCTAATATTTTGTATTTTTAGTAGAGACGGGGTTTCACCATGTTGACCAGGATGGTCTCGATCTCTTGACCTTGTGATCCACCCGCCTCAGCCTCCCAAAGTGCTGGGATTACAGGCTTGCAGTGACATTTCGTTTATAACCTAACTGATGTTCTGTCTCCCTCCAAACCTAACGGTTACTGTGCATCATTCTTGCGGCATTCCCAGTTCTGTTTCTGGGATACAACTGGGTACTTGTTTTTATCTCTCATCATCAGACTGTAATCTCCTTAAGGGCAGGAACAATGCCTCATTGCCCTTTGCATCTCACTCTGTGTTTAGCACAATGTCCTATGTGCAGATTGAACTCAATAAAGAGTTGATGAGTCACTGGAGCAGCTAACTAATACCATGTGAACACTTGGAGCTAACTAGCTGCATATTTTCAGCTAATAAGGACTCTATGCCAGTTACATTTTAACCTTAACAGGTTAAAAGAATGGTTTTTGTTACTCCAGAGTAGCCTGTGGCTAAGATCTGGAAGTAATACCTTATATAAAGGTTTTCCCTTTGGTTAAGCGGACAGAATCATTTACTTGATTGCAATTAAAAAAAAATATGATTTTTTTTTAAAAGATGAGGTCTCATTATGTTGCCCAGCCTGGTCTTGAACTTCTGGCTTTAAGCAATCCTCCCACTTTGGCCTCCCAAAGTGCTGGGATTACAGGTGTGAGCCCTGTACCCAGCCCACCTACTCTCAATTCTACATTCATTCCCATTAATTAATTCATTCAACATTCATTGACTATCTATTATGTTTTAGATTCTTGGCACCAGGGAATCAAAGTAAGCACAACTGTCCTTAAACAGTTCATATTGCAGTGGGAGAGACAGTTTCATAAAACAGAAATTATAACGATATATCATTTAGGCCTGCAGTAGAAGGACATACAAAATGGTACAGAAGCAACAGAGGAGGAAGTGACTAACTGTGGTGTTGGGAAATGCTTCACAAAAGTTAATTTTTTTGGCTGGGCTTGACCTAGTGGGTTTTTGTCAGATGGAAAATAAAGAGTATTGGCCAGGCATGGTGGCTCACACCTTTATCTCAGCACTTTGGAAGGCCAACGTAGGAGAATCCCTTGAGGCAGGAGTTTGAGGCCAGTCTGGGCCACATAGCGAAAGACTGTCTCTACCAAAAAAAAGTAAGAAAAGTAAGTAACAATATTTCAGGCAGAATAGGCAAAAGAGCTGAAAAATGTAGAAGAATGAGTCTCATAAATTTGGGGAAGAGTGAGCAGCTGTGGATTTTTGAAGCAAAGGTACAGGTATTGGGGGTTAAGGCTATCAAGTAATATGATTGTTATGAGTCTATAATGACAAATTCCAATATAATAATTCTATGATCAGAAAAGATGTTTGTGAATTGTCTATTCACTGGATATCAGATTATCCCTCAGTTACCTCAGCCCTTGGAAATAAATGAATAGTGGGAGGTATCTATCACACAGGAAAAAGGAATCTAGTAATCTTTTTTTTTTTTTTAAGATGGAGTCTGTCTTGCTCTTGTTGCCCAGGCTGGAGTGCAATGGAGCAATCTCGGCTCACCACAACCTCTGCCTCCAGGGTTAAAGCAATTCTCCTGCCTCAGCCTCCCAAGTAGCTAGGATTACAGGTATGTGGCACTACGCCCAGCTAATTTTGTATTTTTAGTAGAGATCGGTTTTCTCCATGTTGGTCAAGCTGGTCTCGAACTACTGACCTCAGGTGATTCACCCACCTTGGCTTCCCAAAGTGCTGGGATTACAGGTGCAAGCCACCACGCCCGGCCTAGGAATCTAGTAGTCTTTCTAAGAGACAATATGTGCTTTGAAACTGGAAGAGATAATGCCATGCTTCTGGCTTTTGAAAAAAGCAGTTATAAAACACACAGGCTTGAGGAGGAATAAAGAAAGGCACCAGGCCTGACACTTGGCTACTTGAAAGAGAAGGCTTAGATCCACTGCTAGAAACAGAAAAAAACAGCTGTTTGTGTTATCTATTGCTTTATATCAAATTACTGCTTCATTATATTTCATGATTTTATGGGTCAGAAATTCAAGCAGCACTTAGCTGGGTGATTCTCAGTTCTACATGGTATTGCTAGGGGTCATTCAATGCTATGCAGGTGATATTTAGTTAGCATATGATAGTATGGAGGATCTAAGCAGCTTTATTCACATGTCTGATGTCATAGCCTAGATGGGTAGAAAGCTGGG